CTGTATTTAAGGGAATGATTTATGAATGTTGGGTGCCTACAGAGCTTCCATTTGATTATGGTTTTTACTTTAGCTGCTGAAACTCTTTCCGCAAATTGCTGAAAGGACAGCTAATTAGTGCTGTGTGATCAGATATTTAACACGGATAAACAGCACACAGAAATGCACAAAAACATAATATCAATCTAAAACCTATGATCTTCTTGTTGCTCCTTAGCATTGTTTTCGTCTAACAACAGGAGAATAGTTGAGATCACAGCAGAGACAGGGAAAATAAGGAAGAGAGAGTAAGATTGATAGTATAGAACTGCCTTTATGAAACACACATTATTTGGTATAAATAAGGAAAGCAACTTGCAATGATTAAAAAGTATTTTGAATCCTGAGTTGTCTTCTAGATTGCTGGCCTCTATTAAAAACTTCTTAAAATAATAGATAGCTTTAATTCTTCAAGCAAAAGAAAAATTATATCATCTCAGATTTTCCATGTTTATTATATAGATGTGATTTGACTATGGGAAAAAAAAGAGAACAAAATCTCTTGTATTGCAGGTTTTAAATGTACCAGGCTAAGGTTTACTTAATTAGAACCTCCAGGCAATAAAGGAGCCCTTTTTAAAATTCTGTGATTCTTAATATGCTAAATAATGCAAAGCTTCGACTCTTCAAGCATGAGACACACATCTGGCAGTTTAACATTTAAATTACAGGAGGAAGAAATTCCTCACTTCAGTAGTAATTTTCTCAAAGAAAAGAATAGGAAATGTATTACAACTGCATTTAATTTCTTTTTAGATTTCCATCCTGTCTAACTGCAGATATTTTTCTAGGTTTTCTGTATTTGTATTTTTTACACATATTTTCTGTACATTTTACTCATCTTTAATTTGAGATGCTCTTCACTATTAGAGCTCTTGAAAAACTGCGGTGTATTTTACTTAGATTGTTTTGAGAAATCCATCTGATCTCTAAGAACAAAGACAGTGGTTTAGAAAATAAAGGGAAAATAAAATTTCAGAGACCCACGAAAATATTACTAACAAAAAGGCAACATTTTTCAGTTAGTTCCGGTTTCAGGCTTTAGTTTTTTTCAGTATTAATGTTTTCTCTGTTTTGTCATTTTCTGGCTGTTCTTCGTGCAAAAGTTACTGTAAGCAGTATTCTTTCTTTGCATTTCTCCAAAGGACAGTGTCAGATCCTTGATTAATTTTACAAAGGTCATTTGGAAAAAACCATTAAAAATATGCCAAGTAAAAAAGATTAGCCCAACACAGGGAAAACACACTTTTATAAACATGTGCATTTATATATAGATAGGGTACTGAAACATCATACAGTTTTGACAAGTGTTTTCCTTGTGCACCTCATGTATTATTAAAAATATGACTGTTCCATTTATTTTTTCTGGGTGATCCCAGATGACACATTCCAAAGGCATCAACAGGTTACAGTTATTTGTAAATATTTCATCTTGTTCTCAATATAAGATGATCTGATAATTAAATTGAGTAGTGGTTCCATAAAATAAAGTGGACTTTCAAAGTAATTAACCTATATTTGTATTACTGACACGTAAACATGGGTGCTAGTTAGCCTGTGACCAATTTATGTATCCATTCCTACTTTTAATTAAAAAATAAACAACACTGCAACTTCCAGTTTTAGCTAGGGCAGAGTAGCTGGTACCAGACTAGCTCTTCTTTTACAATCAGCCATTAAACTGGAGAGAACATATGAAGCATGTTAATGTTTTCATTGTCATGGAGCATTGGCCATCAGAAAGCACAAGACTTGCTGATCCCAGAGAGAAGAGAAACTTTTGAGGAAAACCCTGGCTGTCTACCTGGCAAAAATTCCGCCTCTAAAGCAGTGAAGCAAAATCCAAGCAGAGAAAGTCCCACTGAGCTGAGACAAAGTAGCTAGAATCTGCAGAGTGAGAAAGAGCAGGGAGCTGTGCAGAGAGGAGCCCAGAAATCAGGACAGGGACCACTCCCCAGCCATGAGTCCTTAGCTGAGGGTAATGCTGTACATGACCACAGGGAGAACAACGGAGGTTTGCTAAGTGACGACTATGGACCTGAGAGAAGAACAGCGATAACTAGAGTTGGAACAGAGGTAGCATTCAAGTCAGGAGAGTCATGTTAATACCTCATTTTCAGTTTGACAGCAAACTGAGATGCCAAAAGTCTGCATATTAGGAATAAAGACCATGCTCTAGAGAGGCTTATTTTAAGCCTAAAACAAAGCTCTGACAGTAATGGTAGAAGAGTTAGAGACCTGAAGATGAGTTCTGGTAAGTTAGAGTGGCTTGGAAACTCTTAGTTTTTCACAGAAATGCTAAAACAAAATGTAAACTTAGGGACTTCCCTGGTGGTGCAGTGGTTAAGAATCTGCCTGCCAATACAGGGGACACAGGTTCGAGCCCTGGTCCGGGAGGATCCCACATGCCGTGGAGCAACTAAGCCTGTGCACCACAACTACTGAGCCTGCACTCTAGAGCCCACGAGCCACAACAACTGAAGCCTGTGAACCACAACTACCAAGCCTGTGCTCTAGCGTCTATGTGCCACAAGTACGGAAGCCCACACACCCTAGAGCCTGCGTGCCCCAACTACTGAAACCCACATGCCTAGAGCCCATGCTCCACAACAAGAGAAGCCACTGCAATGAGAAGCCTGAGCACCTCAACGACGAGCAGCCCCTGCTCAACGCAACTGGAGAAAGCCTGCACACAACAACGAAGACCCAATGCAGAAAAAAAAAAAAAAAAAAAAAAGAAAGAAAGAAAAAATGTAAATTTAAGCCTACGCAAGTTTAATAAAATTAGCCAGTAATTGAACTGTGTACTAGGAAAAAAATATGAATATCTTTCCAAGGAAGATAACAGAATCCAGAGTCTCCTACAGTTCTACAGTGTCCATTATATAATCTATAATTATTAGACATGCAAAGAAACAGGAGAATATAAACCTTAGACAGGGAAAACAGTGAATAAAAATAACTGTAAGATGATTCAGATATTAAATTTAGCAGGAAAAACCATTAAAACATCCATTATAAACATGTTCATAATTTTTTGAAAAGCACTTTCAAATGATTAAAGGATAGTATGGTTTTAATGAATGGTCAGGTCATCTCAGCAGAGATATGGACACTATAAAATTGTAACCAAATGGAAGTTTCAGAACTGAAGAATCCAAGAATTAAAAGAAATTAACGAATTTGAAATACAGAAAAGAAAAAGCTGGGAGAAAAACGGAGAGAGACTCAGAGACCCATGGGGCTGTATCACATAGTTTTACATACATACAATGGGAATCTTAGGTAAGAAAAGATGGTCATAAAATGGAAGAAAATATGTATTAAAAAAGTGATGATTGGAAATCCCCCAAATTTGATGGAATATATTGACTCATAGATTGAATACTCTCAGTGAACCCCGAAAGAATAAATACAAGGGAAGCTACATTTTAAAATACCATAATGAAACTGCTGAACACAGTTAAACAAAGTTAAAGCAAAAATCTTGAAAGTAGACAGAAGGAAAAAAACCCACATTACAAAAAGGGGAACAGTGATCTGAGAAATGATGGACATTATCATCTGAAACAATGGAGACCCGAAGTCAATGTAATGACATATGTAAAATGCTAAAAATTGTCAATTCAGAAATCTGTATCCAGCAAAAAATCCTTCATGAATTGAGGTTGATATAAAGACATTTTCAGATGAAGCAAAGGTAAAAGAATTTTTCTTCAGCGACCAGCACTATAAAAAACTTAGAGAATGTTCATGAGGCTGGCTGGGTCATCTTTAGGGAGGAAAAGTTTTCCAAAGCATGCAGACAGGGAGACCATGTCCTCAACATTTTACACGCTGGAAAGCTCATTTAAAAACATACACAAAGGCAATTCCAAAGGGCTGAGGATGGCAGCCTTTAATCCCTAGAGGGAGAGAAGAGGACAGGCAGCAAGGCTGTGACTGCTCATGGTATATGATGCATGTGTACTTTTTAAAAAAAAGATTTTGGGTCAACCTCTTGGTAAGAGCTGTGGCTCTGTTAAGGTACTCCAATCTCTAGCAGCTTCTGGGCCAGGGTATTTGTCACAAGATGCTGGGGATAGGCCTTAGCACACGGGCTCATTGAAGTGAGAGGTCAAGCCAATGGATTGACAGTCGTAAAGGTAAAGATATACCTGCTTATGTACTATCTTTCTTTGTTTATAATTTAAGAAACATTTGTTGAGGAGGCATTCCATTTCAGGCACTGTGCTGGACATAATAGGAGAAGGATGAGCAAAACACATTATCTGCAAGGGATGTTTGATCTAGAGCAGTAGTTCTCAACTGGGGATGTTTTGCTCCAAAGGACATTTGGCAATGTCTGGAGACATTTTTAATTGTCTCCAACTAGGGGAGGGCTGGGGAGGTAAAGGGTGCCTTTGGCATCTAGTAGGTAGAGGCCAGAGTTGCTGCTAAACATCCTACAAAACACTGGACAGCCCCCAAACAAAGAGTTAACCAATCTAAAATGTCGCTCGTGCTGAAGTTGAGAAACCCTGATATAAAACAAGTCTTGCAAAAGATGATAAAGGTAGCTCAGGTGAGAAGTGTTGGGTACACACAGATAACAGAACTGTCTAGTCTCAAGGTTTTATAATGGAATACTGGTGTGAGGCACAGAGAAATTTCTTTGAAAACTTGATCACAGAAACATAGCTGAGGATAAAGAATCCTACCCGGAAAGCAGATCAGACACAGCTGCTGCTTGTAAATTACATCCCCGTGGTGTGGCCAATGGTAAAGTTCTACTTGAAGTTCATGCATTGACTGAATTAAAACTGGGAGCATAGAACAACTCAGAGCCTCCAGAGAATTCCTTCTTTTACCCCCATTTGTCAGGCTTTATATAAACTCTTAGATTTCAGCAGTGTAAGCTTACATATCCTCTGAAGTACAAATCTATAATATTTTTTTCCACCTTTTGTTTTTAACCCTAGGAAGCATTTCTAATAAAATTGGTCCCTGCCCTATGGACCGTGATCTCAGTCTCTCAAAAGAAGACCTTGAATTACACAATAAGGTAAGATGAAGGCTATAGAAGTTGGTTTTGACCATGAAAACGACAGTCCTGATTATTAACTATGTTTTCTTAAAATATATTTCCAGGTAGAAAGTAATTTGGTCATCAAAGCAGGTTTTGAAGTGCAGGGCATAGTAAAGCAGCTAACGTTTGTGAAATCAGTAATGCTAATAATTTTTTATTACATCCGAATCAGACTTCTTTAAGCAGTTGAAGTCTTTAGTTAAATTAACCAGTCTACAAGACTCTTTCCATCTTGGGCAGGGTGATTAGAAAATGTGCTGATTGTACTGTATTTATTTGGCATGATCCTGGCTGCCATGAAATCAATCCAGAAACTATCCTGATGAATTTATATAAATTACATAGCCTGGGTTTCCAAACGTTGGTTAAATTAATTTTACTCGTGTTACTGGATCCCGTTTTTTGATATTTAACCATTTCCAAAATCTTTATCTATATAGACCAAATGACTTCGAGTTTTAAGTATTCAGAAAATTTAGCCTGGCTAGAAAATCAAAGTAAAAGGATTTCTCTCCAACCCTGCCCTTTCTCATACAAATTATCTGAATTATTATCTTTATACTCCAGTATGCTGACTAAACTAATACAGGTCTATAGAGCCAACTTTCATGCCATTCTCTAAAGACTGATCTTAAAGTAAACCTTGTTTCCACCTCTAAATAGTGGACAACCATCTAATCAAATAAATGTTTTTTTTTTTAAAGTACACTTTTTTTTTTTTAGGAAGATGTTGGGGCTAGGAGTTTATTAATTAATTTATTTATTTTTGCTGTGTTGGGTCTTCGTTTCTGTGCGAGGGCTTTCTCTAGTTGTGGCAAGTGGGGGCACTCTTCATCACGGGGCGCGGGCCTCTCACTATCTCGGCCTCTCTTGTTGTGGAGCACAGGCTCCAGATGCACAGGCTCAGTAGTTGTGGCTCACGGGCCTAGTTGCTCCGCGGCATGTGGGATCCTCCCAGACCAGGGCTCGAACCCGTGTCCCCTGCATTAGCAGGCAGACTCTCAACCACTGCGCCACCCCAAATAAATGGGTTTTTAATGTCTAGATGACTACTTAACAGCGTTTACAATTACAGTTGTTTTTGTATTGCAGAAGAAGAAAGTTTAGAAATCAAAAGTTTAGTGAAATGTGTAACAGTGAAAGATAACATTCACTGAGTGCTAGGAAATTACTAGAGGCCAGAAAATGTTCTCAGGTCCTTCACATCAAATGACTGTCTTATTCTCACAACAAACTAATGGAATAGATACTGCTATTGACATATTTTCTATATTTAGCAGGTGAGAAAAATAAGGCATGAGAGATGGAGCAACTTAGCCAAAAAAAAAAAACATTGTTGACAAGTGTATAGCTGGGCTTTGAACCAGTCTGTTTCTAGAATCCATATTTGTATCCATCATGAAATAATACTTCAAAAAGTTGTTTATTTCTTTGTCCTTTCAGCCAGGTGTATGTTTTCTACTTCTTGGGTCTTATAACCTTAATTTAAAGAATAGGCTATGGAAACCAAGGACAATTTGCTACAAAGGAAAAAAACTTACATCCTTTATACATCTTATGTATTAGGCACTTTTATGTATATTTTTTTGGAGGCTAAAGGAAGGATACATCTGTGAGATTTCTAGGATATTGTGGACCTAATATTAGCATTTTAAATATTTTTGTAAAATTTTCATGTCATTTGTTGATCATAAATTTTGAGATTAGAAGAAAGACTGAATTAAGTAAGATGAGAAAGAATGCAATCACTCAGAAAACCTAAAATTCTTCCCTATGTTTTCTGAGTTCACCGCTCAATTCAGGAGTTCTCTTTTTCATTTTATTTTTAATGTTATACTCCCCAAATTGCTAGTCGATTGTTTGGAGGAGTAAGCTCTTCCCTGAGGGTCAGGCACTTTGAGAAGGTGTCTTAACTCTGAACTGCTTTAGGAAGCAGCTTTGTGCCTGCTGGTAATACGTCTTTGTAACATCAGTGCTGTGGGAAGACAGAGCCAGAAATACACCCAAGTTGCAAGTGACTGAGTACAAGGGAGGTTATACCATCTACTAAATCTAAATCTGAGACCCTCTATGCCAATTTAAGTGTGTTTTTTTTTTCCCCTCATCTTCTCATAGTAATAGGAATTAATTTGAATCTTCAACTGCTGTTAAAGACTCTAACCCAGGCAATTGATAGGGTGGCTGTGGGGAAACTGAGGTTAATATTGAACTCCACACGTGAGGCATTCATTTTTCAAATAACACGGAGCCAGAAAACAATCAAAATATGTGGTCCAAAGTGGTCAGAGATGTTAGTTGTCATCCAGAGGGCGGAAACAGAAACCCAAGGGGTTAGTTACCCGAGAGGTCTCTCTGGGTAAATCCTGAGCTACCAAGCCAGGAAGGAGCACCTTGCTTCTCCCTGGATACTGCTGATAGAAAGCCTGTCCTGAAAAATTCTCTGGAACACACATCAGAAATGAATTAAAGAAAGAGGAAATAGTGTTCTTGCTGGATGGTCTCAGGATTTAGGCTGGATTTGATTTGGAGCTATGGGTTTTTATTTTTTAGATGATAATAACAACACTGATGGAACTGAACATGATGTCATATTTATTTGCTTTGTTACTTCAGATGCACCTGGTGTTTGTTGTTGTTATCGATGACTTGCAGTTCTGTGATCCTATTAACACAAGCCTCTTAGCACCGTTCGTCCACCCCAAACTGTCCTCCCCTGCCTTCTTAAAAAATGGTGCTGTTCACTTCTGATCTTCCCAGGGCAGTTCAAAAGCATTCATAATCCTCAGGATTCAGCTCTTTATTCACTATTTCCTCTTTCTAAGGCTCTCTCTTTTGATGAAACAATCCCCTTGCTCTTCATCTGGCCAGATGGGCAGATGAACAGTGCTCCCCAGAGCTCTGCACAAAGACCCTGTAAAGAGTTTGGGGAAAAAATGCTGCTGCTAAGTGGAGCCTAATTGTGCCAGAGCCGCAGTGCTTTTCCACTGCACTGGTGCCACTGACCTGTGAACTGCAAGCTCTCTTTCTCTGCACAAAGACTTACCTTCTCATCGGTCCCGTCATCATCACCCTTCTTCATTAAGCAAATGGTCCGTGGAAGGAATTATTGCTAAGGGGTAACAACCTCTAAACGACAAGGTAGGAACCCTGGGCTTTGCTTTCTATCATATAACACAATTAAATGGGTCTTTCATTTCATGAGCTGGGCAACTTTTTTTTTTTTTCAAGCAATTTATTTTTGGCTGCATTGGGTCTTCGTTGCTGCATGTGGGCTTTCTCTGTTTGCGGCGAGCAGGAGCAACTTTGAGACTTAATATCTTGTCTTATACCTTAATATTATCTTAATATCTTAATATTAATAAATTAATATCTTAAGTCTTCCTATAGTATTTTCTACTAGGCAGCTTCTTAGAAATGCTGTAATAAATGCACAATAAAGGATGTTAAATGTTCCCTTGATCACCCACGCTATATATTGCACTGTACCAGATGCTACTTATATCCTTAATGTCCTAAAGCATGTTAAGTTCTATCCTTTCCATCCCCAGAAAGAATTTTATAGCTATTATATCACTTTGTCTTCATAAAAAATCCTGCGATCTATGCAAGACAAATATTATCTCCATTTTTCAGATTAAAAAACTCAAATTCATGGACTTTAAATAATTTAAGTTTCCAAAGTAGCGAGAAGACTCGAATGAGAGTCTTCTGACCGTCACTTGTTGGCCCTGTTGACTGCAACACAATACACTTTAGTTTCTGAAAATTCTATAAAACACTTCTTGGCTCTCATTTTGTGTTGTGTTTGAAAGAGTGCATGTGTATTGCTTCCTCATTGATGCTGTATTTGAATGGCCATCCTCACAGACCACATTTTTAGCTCGTGAACTTGAAAATCGTATTCTGAATTCTAGCAATTTATATTTACATATTTGCTAGTGGTTTCTGCGATCGGTCAGACTCTGAGTAGCCATACAGATGATATGTGAAATGCGCCATTCCAGAACAAATTTGCACCACCAATTTCTCCTTTAAAGTATAGATATTCATCTTTCTAAAGACAATGCTGTTGGAAGACTTTATTATTATTATTTTTTAATAACGATGTTCTTTGGCTTCAGGGACTTAAAGTTGTCATGGACCAGAGGATTTATTTTCTGTCTTTAAATGTTGATGATATCCTATTTAATGTATTAGTTGTTGGGCATAGATTCAAGATAAGAATTTGTGCTTGGTCGATCAGATTGTTGAGTGTATTCATGTGAACATTCATTCAGGCTCACACACTCCGGTACTCACTCACCTGGGAATTTTGCTGTACATATTTATATCTTTTTGGGTTTAAAACTCTTATTTTCTTTGGGTTTTTGTTCCTCTTTGGGTTCATTTCTTTGGAGATGAACAAGTGTCTGTGACTTTATGTCTTCCAAAACACCCATTTGAAGGAATTTTTAGCACGTTACGTTAAACATTCTTTAAAGGAAATCCAAAGGTTCAGAAAACTTTTGTTATTTTTAGAGTTAACAGGTGTTTTTCTTTGTGACTTAGCAACTTGAGGTAGTCCATTGTCCTTGTAATATAAATACTTAATGAAGTGACTTCTAATAACTAATTCTTGAGTATTTACTATGTGCTTATTACCGTGTTAGGAGCTGTGAAAGATACATGGAAATATATACTACATACCATTTTTACCATGAATTTAGTTGAACAATCAAGATAGACATTAACCGATTAACCAAATAGAAAGCAGTTTAATATACTATATCATAGAACACGTATTTTTTAACAAATCAGGAGGTTTGGTGGGTAAACCACATCCTTGGTATAATTCTTGATAGCCATTTCAACTTTCTATTTAGTAAGACTGAATAAAGTATGTAAACATCTCATAAATAAAAATGCCATCTGATTTAAAGGTTAAATACCTACAAAAGCATGTTTTTAGCAGTCAGGTAAGGTGTGCAAATCAAATACGTTTGTTTAGTTGGGACAATTCAGAGCTCTCATATATTTTAAAGAATTTTGACACACTTTAACTTACTCAGGAATGGAGTAATTAAAAATACCAACAGTAAATAATCTGATTAAAAGTACCTTTATTGGCACAGGAGCTATAGAGTCTGAGAAAGATAAAAAAGACCACAACCAAAGGTACCTTCAGTTGATGGCTCTCATAAATGAATTTTGTTCTTAAGGTGATCAAATCAATCAATTTTATAATAAAAGAAATGAGCCTTGTGGAGATTTGATGACGCATCTGTTTCACCTGAGTTTCACTCCAGGGTTTTCCTGGTTACTACGACCTGTGCATCCCAAAAGCATCCTGCAATTGCAAAATATTTCAGCTACAGACTTGTGCTAAAACTTGTATGAATTGATGTCAAGGAATTTCAAGTAAGGAGCCTCTTATAAATTAGGATCAAAAACACTTGAGAAGGGTCTAAAGAAAAGGAAAGAACATTAGCACAACTATCTTATAAGTGCCAGTCCTGTCTAACTTCTTCTGTAGCTAGTGGTTTACAAATGCCTTTTTGTCAGCAGTATTTTGTAATTAAATTGTATGGGAGACTTCAATATATAAACAGATAAAAGTTTAACTGTTTTGGTGGAAGAGGGAAGAGTCTGTCTAGGTTAGATGCTCCCTCTCTCCCCACTCCTCTCCAAAGCCGGGCTCTTCAGAATCCTTGGTTGAATTATAGGGTTTAGTTTCTCCAATGAGGCAATCTGTTTTCTGGAACCATCATCCTGGGTCACATGATTTTCTCAAGTTCTCATAAATCAGCTCCACAGACATTGTATGGTCCTGAGTTTAAATTGATGTTATTGAGACTGTGGAACTCAGGAGTTTTTGGAACCAATGCTAACATGAAGCGGCCTGCTAAAACAAAGTAGAGGTAGGGTGGAAAGGAATCCTGGTGGCCTTTGATTCCTTTGCTCCCCTAGTCCAGAAATCCAGCTGACTCCTTGCCTTCGCAGTAGCCTGGCTGGTCAAACTTTTCTCCAAATTCCTTTCTGCTAAAAGCTAGTTCAAGCTGCATCTTCTTTACTTGCAGTAGTCTGGATTTAATACGAAAACCATAACCATGGTTATGATGTTGTTTTCATTCTAACAACATTTATAGAATCTGTTCCATGTGAGATAATACGAAAAGGAACATGTCACAGTCTGCCAATATAGACATGAAAATTTAGTAAGAGAATCTGGAATATAAAGCCATAATTTCAATGCAAAATCATGGCTAACTATGTTTCTGTATGACCAATGATTCCATAAGTCATTCTGGGAAAATTGTCACTGAAGCCAGGTAAACTTTCTATCTGCTCCCTGCTAAAATACTTTTTCTCCCCATTTATTTAATTTCATTTCATTCTGTGAAGGAAAAATCAACTGCTTGGAAAACTGGAGAAATTGAAGATTATTCTCAGGATACATCTTATTTGGAGGAACTGGAGAAACACAGATTTTCAGTTTGGTGAGTAACTATATCCTGTCTTTCTATTTTAAAATTTAAATCCTTTAAATTCAACAAGTCTTCACTCATTCTCTTCTTTTATTAGTCATTTATTCAACAAATATTGATCGCATGCTTATTACAAGCTATGTGATATGTGCCCTGATTTGGGAAAGCTCATAGTCCAGTGAAATATATGTATGCTTAAACATCAGAGTAATATGATAACACTTTAAAAGAGAAAAAAAAAGAATGCACACATAAACACCTGGAGAACACGATGGCTTGAATTCGCTTGAGAATGGTGAAGGATTTTTCAGAAAAAGTTTGAGCCAGATCTTGGGGAGAAGACTACAGTGGAGAAATACTGACAATTTGATGTGGGCAGTGTCCAGAGATGGAGTTGGGAGGATGGCTGGGGCTGATACACATTCCAAACCTTAGTTCACTTAAGATCTAAGCAGATCATAGTTACTGCGCTCTCTTCCTGGCGATGTGTATACAGGTATATCTGTCTATGCAAGCATACATATAACAGACATGAAAAAATACATAGAAAAGTGAGCAGTGGAGCTTCTCAGAGGTAACGATTACAGGATTTTTCAGTGGTGGGATTCATCAAGGATGAGGGAAGGAACCACAGTAAGTGGCTGTGTGACACGTGGAGTAACCTAGGAAACAGGAAGAAATGGAGTAGCCTGTCAAAGTCGTCTCCTCCAAGCCACGGCCTCTCTGCTCTTCAAGATCCATGCTCTGAATGGTTTTCCCCCTGGGAATTTATCTGCCTTATGATTTGGTTCCTGAAGATTTTTCTCTTACTCTTCCATCCTGGAACTATCATCAGGAGGAATGGTAGCAGCTCAAATTTCCTTTATCCAGAGTCACATTTTTATAAGTCCTACTGGTTTTCACTTAAATGCAAAAGTCTCAATAATTTCACCAGTGCTTTCCTGAAGCAGCTGAAGTACGGTCTTCAGGTTAACCAATGAGTTGTTCTCTTGATCAAGAGATGCAGGCTTGTGCTTAAGAAACAGGGAGATGTGCGTTTCTCTAATGATTAATGATGTTGAGCATCCTTTCATGTGTTTGTTGGCAGTCTGTATATCTTCTTTGGAGAAATGTCTGTTTAGGTCTTCTGCCCATTTTTGGATTGGGTTGTTTGTTTTTTTTGTTATTGAGCTGCATGAGCTGCTTATAAATTTTGGAGATTAATCCTTTGTCAGTTGCTTCATTTGAAAATATTTTCTCCCATTATGAGGGTTGTCTTGTTTATGGTTTCCTTTGCTGTGCAAAAGCTTTGAAGTTTCATTAGGTCCCATTTGTTTATTTTTGGTTTTATTTCCATTACTCTAGGAAGTGGGTTAGAAAGGATCTTGCTGTGATTTATGTCATAGAGTGTTCTGCGTATGTTTTCCTCTAAGAGTTTGATAGTTTCTGGCCTTACATTTAGGTCTTTAATCCATTTTGAGCTTATTTTTGTGTATGGTGTTAGGGAGTGATCTAATCTCACACTTTTGCATGTACCTGTCCGGGTACATCTCCCAGCACCACTTATTGAAGAGGCTGTCCTTTCTCCACTGTACATTCCTGCCTTGTTTATCAAAGATAAGGTTACCATATGTGTGTGGGTTTATCTCTGGGCTTTCTATCCTGTTCCATTGTGGATAAAGAAGACGTGGCACATATATACAATGGACTGTTACTCGGCCATAAAGGGAAACGAAGTTGAGCTATTTGCAATGAGGTGGATAGACCTAGAGTCTGTCATACAGAGTGAAGTAAGTCAGAAAGAGAAAGACAAATACCATATGCTAACACATATATATGGAATTTAAGAAAAAAAAATGTCATGAAGAACCTAGGGGTAAGACAGGAATAAAGACAGAGACCTACTAGAGAATGGACTTGAGAATATGGGGAGGGGGAAGGGTAAGCTGTGACAAAGCGCGAGAGAGGCATGGACATATATACACTACCAAACGTAAGGTAGATAGCTAGTGGGAAGCAGCCGCATGGCACAGGGAGATCAGCTCGGTGCTTTGTGACTGCGTGGAGGGGTGGGATAGGGAGGGTGGGAGGGAGGGAGATGCAGGAGGGAAGAGATATGGGAACGTATGTATAGGTATAACTGATTCACTTTGTTATAAAGCAGAAACTAACACACCATTGTAAAGCAAGTATACTCCAATAAAGATGTTAAAAAAAAAAAAAAGAAAGAAAGAAACGTAAGGCAGGAAGGGAAGTCAAAAAGCCCAGGAAACAAGAAATATGCATGTCTCTTCTAGGGAAAAAAAAGTAGATAAGAAATGCAACTTCCAAATAATAAAAAGACAAGCTCCCCGTCCTTAAGAAACTCTTGTTTGTGATGGTCTCTATGGGGAGGGTGACAAGTACATTAATTCAATAAAATAGCTGCCAGAGCAGAGGTACCAAGTGCTCAGTATGGTGTGCAGATAGGAGAGCTGGAGCTTCTGTTGAACCACGTGCAAAATTCTCAGTCCCTGTCTGAAGCTCTCAGGCTCCCAGCTCCCGCATTTGTCCCTGTTGCCTCTCCACGCTTTCTCTGATGACTCAGCTCTCTGTTGGGATGACTTTTCAGAGTCCAGTGTATGCAACTTCACAATGTCACTCTTACTTTACACATAAAGTATAAAAGCTTCAGAGCTTCCAAGGATCTCAGAGCTTCAGTTTCCAATAGATCTTTTTTTTTTTTTTTTTTTTTTTTTTTTTTT